CGGGGAACACCTGTCCTCCTGAGAGAGGCAAGGTTGATATCTGCTGGTAAAGATCAGCTGGAAGGGTGAAAAGCAGAGACAGGCCACAAAGAAAATGTGGTTTGACGCTTGTACACGTTTTCCACCAGAGGGGAACCTCCATTTTAGATCTGTCCTTTCACACAGAAGATGCCTAGTTAATGGCATGTCTTAGTTCTACATGTGTTCATTAAGTACGCTCATACACCAGGGAACTTGCTAGATGCTGGGCATACAAAGGTGAACGACATGTTCCCGCCCCCACAGAGCTCAGGAAGAAGAGAGGATGTGAGTAACAGTGGAACAGAGGCGCAGTGTCTCTGGCCCAGGGGCAGCAGCGCGGACGCTTGTGCCGCAGGACGATGCAGCACGGTCAGGCTTGACGGCGAGGGCGTGGCCACCTGGGCCCTGCTGGGGTCCTCTCCCTTCCTCACGCCTGGCGCTGCCTGGGGCTTGGTGAAAGCAGAGCGTGGACTTGGCGATGGGTTGGATGTCTAGAGACAGAGCAAAGTGAAGAATGAGGTCTTCGATTTTGGTCTGATCCACTGGGAGAACGGTGACCATCTCAGCCATTTCCTGAGATGGAGCAGGTTGTGAGTTTTGCACCAGACCGGTTCGATTTGAGGTGCCTCTTAGGGTGTCCAGGAGAGGGCGTCAAGTCAGCAGTTGGGAAGAGGAGTCTGGGGTTCAGGAGGAAAGCCTCAGGAGGGCTTTGAGCCTGAGAAACACATGAGAGAGGGTTTTTAAAGCCATGGGATGGATAGAGTCACCCAGGAATGGGTTGAACTGTGTCAGTACTTGCTGATCGGTGAGGGGAGGAGGACCCGGCACAGGGGCCTGGAAGAGGCATGCCAGTGAGCTAGGAAGAAACTGGGAGGCAGGTGGACAGCGAAGGGATGGCTCTACCATGGCAGTGCTGGTGAGGGGAGAGTGGGGTGGGAGAGGGATGCCGGAGGTGAGCCAGTCAGCATAGACCAGGTTTCAGAGTGCATCTGTGAAGGGGGGGGCGGGGGTGGCAGGTGCAAGAGGGGTGTGGAGGCAGAGAGTGGCTTGCTGGTTCTTGGTTGGACCGGCCTGGGGCAGGGGTGTGTGTGTAAGCGTGTGAGCACAGGGGGGAGGAGTCCGTAGCAGCAGGATGTGCTGTGTCAGGGGATGGACACTGGCAGATGGGGGCCCAGGCACCCAGGAAGCAGCCTCCGGCAGGGGAGATGACCAGATGGGTACTGGGGCGTTCGGCTTCGTGTGGGTGTTTTCTTCCGTCAGCAGGGGCTGAGTATGTGGCTGTTTATGCCAGGCTTGCCCCCTTTTGTGCCAATTTTGTTTAAAAATCATAAATTCTCCCCCAGAGTCCTCTTATTAAAAGTATAAAAGACTGTAATTTTCCAGTTATAGCCATTCACTGGTTGCATTTTTACGCTATGATGAAAACTCCGTGTTCCCGGTGCCCTGAAGAAAGCTGGATAAGCCCTGGCAGCGGCTTGCCTGGGGATTTAAGAGGACGCTAGCCACAGCTGTCTGAAGGTCCGCTGCCACTCATGCCTAAGTCATCCCAGCCCCTACCCGAAGGCAGTCCTGAGGGTGGCGCTTTGCTGCCACCTAGTGGCAGTCTTTCTGGGAGGTTTTGAGGACCATCTGAGAAATTAAGAGTGGGATCAGTTTTAATTTGGAATACATTGCTGTTCTTAGTAGGTTTTTTTTTTAATGTGTATTTATTTTTGAGAGAGAGAGCGAGCATGAGCAGGGAAGGGGCAGAGAGAGGGAGACACAGAATCTTAAGCAGGCTCCAGGTTCCAAGCTGTCAGCACAGACCCTGACGCGGGGCTTGAACCTACAGACCGCGAGATCATGACCTGAGCCAAAATCGGACGTCCAACTGACTGAGCCACCCAGGCGCCCCCTTTGTGGTTTTCTCTTTAAATAAGGGACCAAAGTAGTAATTCCCTGTCTGCTCACCAAGTGCCACTGAAACATACAGGAAACCGGGCGTCTCAGTATGGTTTTGTCTGTTTTGGATAGAACGAATCCAGTTTTAGTATTTATTTAATAGAAACATTTTTGCTGTAATTAAAGATTTTATGCTGATTTTTCTTTTAAATGATGGCACCAGGAGAGCCAACCATCTTTCTAGAACATAGAACCAACCCTGTGTCCTGCACAAACCACCGTGAATCCTGTCAGGCTCCTCCGTAGTCATTGCTGTCACCTCCTCACCCAGCTTAGAGGTGTGCCCGCCAGCCTTGTGCTGACTGCTGACATTGCCCCCTGCACTGCGGGTCGAGAGAGGCCAAGCTGGAAACGTTAGGGGCGGTATATTCTCAAGCAAAATTGGTATGTATCCCCTTCTGCTGAGGCTTGGGGAGTGAATTATTGTGGAGAGAAGGCTCCTTGAGCTCTGTGAATGGTGATGAGTATCCATCTGCCCCTCGAACAGCATGGAATGAACTGGGCAGGTCCACCTACACGTAGAGTTTTCCCGACACATACAGGCCAGTGCTGTAAACATGTTTTTTCTTCCTTATGATTTTCTCCACATTTTCTTTTTTCTGGCCTACTTTACTGTAAGAATATAGTCTATAACATATGTCACATAAAAATATGTGGTGAGCAACTCTGTTATCAGTAAGGCTTCTGCTCAGCAACAGGCTGCTAGAGGTCAAGTCTTTGGAGAGTCTGAAGTTCTATGTGGATTTCCCACTGCTCAGTGGTGGGTGCCCCAACCCCGGCCTTGTTCAGGGCTAAACTGTGCTTTAGATAACCTTGAAAAATAACTACACCCACTCCGTCATTCTCCCGTCGTGGCCAGAGTCACTTGTGAAGCGTTCCCCGTTTGCCAGCAGCTTCTGTTTGTTTGGGGAGCTGGCCAGGTGTGCCGCAGCATAATGCTCCTTTTGTGTGAGGTGCTTTTTCCCTTAGACGGATATGGCAGGAAAGGGGTTGGGCAGATGGATTTAAGTTGCCATTTCATTGGTAATGTAAATAAAAAGCTGTTCATTTTCATATTTAGTTTCCATGCGGGCCACCTTATGAAAATCCCATTGACCTGTAGGCCTGGAGCTTTTTGCTGATCTTTGACTGGATTAATGTATTTGCCATGAGGATCGTCTTTATCCCCACCCACTCCAGCACTAGATGGAGCCTAGCCTGGGAGAAGGTGGGGGCATGTATTTTTATTTATTTATTTTTTTTGTTTATTTTTGAGAGAGTGCATGCACAAGTGGGGGAGGGACAAAGAGAGAGGGAGACAGACTCTGAAGCAGGCTCCATGCTGTCAGTGCAAAGCCCGACTTGGGGCTTGAACCCATGAATCGCGAGATTATGACCTGAGCCGAAGTCGAAGTCGAATGCTCAACCAGCTGAGCCCCCGAGGCAACCTGGGACATGTGTTGTTCAAAGGCAAGAAGGGTCCCTTTCTCTCCTGGAGAAGCTTGCATTTCCAGCATCATGTCTGGGAAGAAATTAGAGGTCGGAGATGCGGGTCCCGAGGGCACGAAACTGCTTCCCTGGCAGAGCAGCTCCATTAAGTTTGGGGGATCCAACGAATCTGTGCAGTTGACGTGAATTTATTTTACATTCAGTCTTATAAAGTAAACCCCTAAGTAGGATTTTCTTGACAGGTTGGTAAAACTAAACAGTAGAAGTGCAGCCCCACCGTTCATTGCCTGTGGCCTCGTGGAGATTTCGTAAGCTCCCTGAGCCTCAGTTCCACCGCCAGGAAGTGTTTCAAATTGCAGGAATGATTCGAGGCAGCAGGTGTAGACACTCCTAGCACAGTGCTTGACACGCTGCTCACAAGTTTCGGCGGCAGTGATTATTAATCCCAACATTATCATTGACTCAGGAATAATGACAATCGAAAACTATTGGCTTGCTTTCTAAATTTTGTTAACCATTTATATAAAGCTTTAATTTGGAATTAAGTCAGATCAGTAAACGTTTACTCATTGTGATAAGGAGAATGTGGAAGATTTTATTTCTTTAAATGTGTATTCCCCAAAACATACAGTCCTAAATTAAAGTTCTGAAAGAGGGACCCCTGCCTGGGTGGCTCAGTCAGTTAAGTATCTGACTTCGTGGTTTGTGAGTTTGACCCCTGTGTCCGGGCTCTGTGCGGACAGCTGAGAGCCTGGAGCCTGCGTCGGATTCTGTGTGTCTCTCATCTGCCCCTTCACTTGGGCATACTCTGTCTCTCTCTCAAAAATAAACACTAAAAAAAAATTTTTTAAATAATGTCCTAAAAGAGAGGCAGATTAACACGGGGCAGTCTAGCAGGGTACCTGGAGGGCCCAGCATTTTGGTGGATGTGCCTCAGGTGGCGTCCGGTGTGAGTTTGTTCGTTTTCCTGCCCGAGCTGTCATCCTTTCTATATAGGCTTAGTAATTTTGTGAATTTTTCTGGAGGGGCTGGAATGTTCTATCTCGGAGTGGTCTCGGGGCCACACAGCCCTGGGGAAGCTGGCGGGGACTGGTCAGCACTCAGCATGCTTTCTTCCCTCCTCTCCCACCTGGTTTCCTTCCGTTCCCTCCCTCCCCGTTCGTTGCTCACCAGTGCTGTGGCCCTAGCCTTTGTGATGTAATGTTCTCTCACCATGTGTCCTAGAATCCGTAAAGGCAGCGCAGATGGCACCATTTATTTTACTCTCCATATCATCTCCGTTACCTAGAAATTTCTATACCTCTGCACTTTGTTTAAATTGTGCATCACTGAAAATTTATCTAACTTTTACTGTTTTGTTTTACGTGTTCATCTAAACTAATAGTTTATTTAAAGATAAACTAACAGAATGATGTTAAAAGAGAATAGTATTTTCTATAGTATTTGGGTGGGTTTACTTTTTGTAACTTGGAACTTGCTCTTTATTAAGGTCAAATCTTGAAAAATAATCATAAATAACCTTAATAGTTAACATCGGCGAAGGCTCATGTTTGGTCGCCAGTGTGTCCGCCTCGTCCCCTTTGGAAACTGACCTGGACTGCCTTTTGCAGGGTGACCTAAAAGCTTACCTGCGCAGCGAGCAAGAGCACATGAGGGGGGACTCGCAGACCATGCTGCTGCAACGGATGGCCTGTGAGATTGCAGCGGGCCTGGCCGCCATGCACAAGCTGCACTTCCTGCACAGGTGGGTCCGGCCAGGCTGCGCCCTGCTCCCCGCCCAAGGGGCCAGCCTTCCGGGGCCGTGCTTCGGAGGCTATGTGAGCAAAGGCTGTCCTGGACATCCTGGGTCAGGGAGAGGGGAGGGTTGGGCTTTGGTCAGATCAGTACCAGGGGACAGGACATCTGCCTAGAGCCTGAGGTCTGGAAACCATTTCCGGAATGTCAGAGGATGTGACAGATGGCACGTTGGGGACAGAGCTGGGGGCAGTGTCAGTCTCCCTGCTGACCTCTCTCTGGGCGCCCCTGTCACGTCAGCTTCGGACTCTGGTTTTGATTGTAAGGTTCCAGGGTGTGTCCCACTGCCCCTCCCTGGGAGGCGAAGGGTGGGACTGCTTATCTATTTGTAGAGGGTCACGGCAGGGGTGCCAGTGCCCAGCAAGCCTGCCCACCCCCCCCACCTCAGCCTCCCAACCCAGGCTGGGTTGTAGGTGGTCAGAGGGTGCAGGAGCCACACAGCAGTCAGCATAACGTATCTGTGCGGACGCCTTTCTGGTACCACTTGAAAAGCTGCAGCTCTTTGGAGCACAATGCATTTGGCTCAGACCAATGATGTAATTTTTGTGATTAATTTTTTGTAACAAAAGGCTTTGAATCCTATCTGAGCTGATGGTTCTGTGAACCCAAAAGGAGATTGCTGCTTATTCTCTAGCCTTCTGAGCTCTGATTTATGTTTAAAATATGCTTGAGGGGCCCCTGAGTGGCTCAGTTGGTTAAGTGTCCAACTCTTTTTTTTTAAGCTTTTTTTACTTTTTATTTACTTATTTTTGAAAGAGAGACAGAGCTTGAGCAGGGGAGGGGCAAAGAGCCAGGGAGACACAGAATCCGAAGCAGGCTCCAGGCTCTGAGCTGTCAACACAGAACCCCATGTGGGGCTCGAACTCAAGAACCATAAGATCATAACTTAAGCTGAAGTCAGACACTTAACCCACTGAGCCACCCAGGCTCCCGTAATGTCTGACTCTTGATTTTGGCTCAGGTCATGATATCATGGTTCCTGAGTTTGAGCCCCAATTGGGCTCCATGCTGATAGTGTGGAGCCTGCTTGGGATTCTCTGTCCCTCCCTCTCTATCTCTGCCCTTCCCTTGCTCTCTCTCAAAATAAACAAACTTTAAATACATAAATAAAATATTTGCAATTATTTCTCAGGTTTCCAGGGAAACCAGCTTCTCTTTAGTTGACTTTAATTAAATAATTTAACACTTAACAATCCAAAGCCCTGAAAAGGAACACCTGTGTGCTTTGACTTTAAGGTCTGTGAAGTATTCTGTTTTTTAAAAGGTAGGTTGCATAGGAATATATTTATAGTATGGTACCATTTTTTTTTTTTAAAGAAGAAAACACCTGCTTGTATTTGTGGAGGTGTGTGTGAGAATAGACGTGGAAAAGTACCCTGTCAAACTCTCAACATTACTTCAGGGGAGGAAAGAAAGAAAATTATTAACGCTTTTCTCATACATCTATATCTTATTTGGCATGCATAGTAAGTAAATCATTCTGATAAAGGGCTTTATAAAAGACCCCAGAGATTATGGGTTTCTTCAAGCCCAATGCAGAATCCCTTATATAAAACTTCAAAATGTAAATAATCTATTTGCTTCATATAGAGAAATCTTATATTTCATTTCTTTAATCTCTTACAACAGGTTCATATCCAGCATATTTGTATTGTTAATCTTCTGTAAATCACAGTAGGTTAGTCCCTAAAAGGTGGTTTAGGAATGTTTAAACCTTGGAAGGTGGAATGTTTAGATCTTGGAAGGTGGAGTGTTTAGAGAGAGTCATGTCAGACTCAGCAGCACAACAGAGCTTTCAGAGGCAGCTAGAAATTACATTTAAAGCCCAAGTACATTCCTACTACTGTATTTTAAAAATTGGCGAAACATCAGAGTAAATGCAATCTTTTCCTATGAGTTGAGGGTTTTTTTAATCTTTATTTATTTTGAGAGAGAGAACACATGCATGCATGAGAAGGGGAAGGGCAAAGAGAAGGAGAGAGAATCCCAAGCAGGCTCCACATTCAGCATGGAGCTCAACTTGGGCTTCTACTCACAGCTGTGAGATCGTGACCTGAGCTGAAATCCAGAGTCGAATGGTTAACCGACTGAGCCACCCAGGTGCCCCTTCCTGTGAGTTGCTATAGGTTAAAGTCCTACTTGATTTAGACTTTTGTGAACCTTAGAACAAATAAAGGTGACAAATAAATGACATTTGTGTTTGGCTGCTATCCAGGCACAAACACTCAAAGTAAAGAATATTCTTTAAAGTATTAGCAGCTCTCGCTCTCTCTGTCTTTTTTAAGTAGCTATATTTTATGTAAAATTCCCCCTTGGGGCAAAATTTTTGATTTTAAGCTTTTTTTTTTAATGATAGCAACCTGTATAGCATATTTTTACATTGGAATTCAGAATATTTATTGGCTGACTCAAAGTCAGGTTTCTGTGTTGGTTGAAAATAGAATAGCCCACACATCCATCTAAAAGCCTTTGGCCATGTTTGGAAACTGACGTAGGAAAGCACCCGCAATTATAGTTTATTTTTGCTGGTAGTTTAAGAGGAGACCCATGCCTTGGTCTTAGGTAGCCTGCATCTCCGAGGCTGACGCGTGACATCTGTGAAGGCCACGTGTCAACAGCAGAAGCCGCCAGTGGGTTATGTTCCACACCATTCTGCCACTCTGGCCGAGAGCCTGGGATTTCCCATCCCCTGCCCATCAGGCTTTCTGAGCTGCTCCAGTGAGATGCCACAGATCACTGCGATGAGCGAAGTGCACAGAGGTTCTAGCGAGTAGCGTGGGCCTCATGGTGGCTCAGGTAGCTGCAGACCTGTATGACCGTGGCCTTGAGGAATGGAGTACTTGGGTGACCGTTGTTAACAAGCCTCTTTAGGATTTTCCTGGTTTGTTTTTATTTTTTTTAAGTTTATTTATTTACTTAGTGCGCACGCATGTGGGAGGGGCAAAGAGAGTGAGAGCGAGCGAGAATTCCGAGCAGGGATAGTGCTGATGGTGCAGGTAGGCCTATGGGGTTCTCATGAACTGTGAGATCATGACCTGAGTCGAAACTAAGAATTGGATGCTTAACCAACTGAGCCTCCCAGGTGCCCCAGGATTTTCCTGGTTTTAATGTTAAGGTTACTTTCTGCTGAGAAACACCGAGGTTCTCTGGCTCTCAGAGTGCGGGCATCCAATGTTTCAGAAGCATGGTCGATAAACACTAGTGTTGGGTTCCATTTTACATTATTTTTTTCTTAAATGGTGCTGTGGGTGTCCACACTGGTAAAGATTAGAAAGTCTGGTTACTAATCGGCTTGTGCTGCACGGCTAGCCTGAATGTGTCTTTCAGTTGGTGCATTATTAGGGGATTTCATTCACTTATGTACATGTAAAATCTTCAGATTTTATCTTTTTAAATTCCTTCTAATGTTTTGTATTTTAAAGATTAGTCTTTAAGGAAGAAAAGTTTTTGTATGGCAAGAAGTATGATTACTGTAGTTCTTTTGATTATTTTATTTTTGAAGACCTAATTGGCTTTATTACATGATTCATGAATTGGGCAGCATGCCATCTAGCAAGTTGAGAAGGGCTCTCCCTAACTGACCATTATATGTCAAAGCCCCAGGTAGCATCTGAGGCACAGTGGTGTTAAATGAAAAGAAGACACTACAGTTGTACCATCACTTGGCTTTCATGATGCAAATCTAAGGATTTTCCTTACACAGGCTGTGGAATGTGCAGGCACTTGATCAGTGTGTGTGACATGAAAGAGTAAAGGCCTCAGACACAGAGCCTCACCCCGTCTGGCCTTATTTTCTTCACTTGTAAGATGTTGGTCGTAGAGCAGAGCTGGGGTTCAAACCCAGGTCTGGGGGCTCTGGGGCCCACACTCTGTGCCAACAAGCTACCCTAAACAGTCCCTAGGCACCCTTTTTTACTGGTGGCATGATGTATATTGAGAAAAAGCAAGATACTAGTTTCTTTAAAAACCAAAATCAATAAGAGAATTTATTGTAGTGCACTTGTACATATACTAAAGTATACCTGGAATCGAGGGCAGAAATCCCATCCCATTTTTACCAGTGCCACACAGTTATTTATTATAGTTCATTATAAATTATTTGGGAATACATATGTGAGAAAGACACAGGACTGCGTGGAGACAGCTATGCAGTCTTACTGAAGGACGTAAAATATCCCACCATATTTTATGGTGGGAAGGCACCACAAAGATGTCAGTTAACTCAGAAATAAGAAGTAAACTTCATAAACAATTCCAGTAAGAATCCTCACAGGATTTTGGAGGGGGGAGGGTGAAATTATCTTTAGCTCCATATGGAAAAATAAATGTATAAAAGAGCCAGTAAAGTATTAAAAAGAGGTGAATTGTTGGAGCAGAAAGGGAGGCTTGCTTTATGAGGTATCAGAACTCAATGTAAGCCACTGAGATAAATATCAGGATGGCTTTGATGGAGAAAGAGATGAGTGGACAGTAGCCAGTACATAAAGCGAGTCAATGTCTGACAAAAGCGATGTTCTTGTCAGTAGGGAAAAGATGGCTTCCCATCACACAGAGCTTAGTACATTACCCATCCGGGAAAGTACCGGGCCTCTGCACCACCCCCTATATAAAAAATAAAGACCTAAGAAATGAAGGTGATTCAGGCAAAATTCCAGAAGCGTGTATGTATGTGTTACCCAGGGATGAGCAAGGCATCCTGACTAGGAAGGTCCTTCCTCTCCTGAGGCAGGAAGCTCAGGAGATATAAAATAAAGGGTGGACGTTACACCAGAGGCTGACTGTTCTATGCAGTGAAATACTTTGCGTGGCAGCAGAGAGCGCAGCAAAGTCCGCAGATGACATACTTGCAAAGATATAGCTCCCAATGCAAGGAGAGGCCAAGGGGCAGATGTTCACGATCCACAGCCAGCGCCTCAGAATTGGTGAGAGAACATTGACCCCTAGAAAGAT